TGAAAGCCTTGAGCAGCCAATGCATTCTGGGCCTTTGAAAGTCTGAGCACAAATCTAAGAAGGTCTCCGAAGGTCTTTTCACCGCACAGACAGACCTATCAGAATGCAGAATTAAAGTTGCAATGAAAACTTCGTATTGATTAACCAAAGCCATGTTATGGGAGAGTACAGGTTCTGAAAGCAGGTGAGCTGCTGGAGGCACACAGTGACTCAGGTCGGCTAAAGGTTGGGCAATGTCAGCATTTTTCTTGTGAGCTTGAAAAGTGGAATGTCAGCCAAAGACAGGGAGGTGTAAGCGAGAGCTGCTGCATCAGAGAAAGACATAATGGTAGACAGAGTAGGAAAGGTAACATCTATCTGAGTCTCCCGTGATGCATCACCTCTCTATCCTTTCAAGAAAAAAAAAAAAAAAGGGTGCGGTGGCTGATGAATGGCTCCGCTCACAGGAGAGGAGCAGAGCGGTGCTATCCCCAAGGCACTGGAAAGCGAAAATGATTATTTCTTGGCTAAGTGGTTCTGGTTAGACTTAGATCTAAATCCCTTCTGAGATGTAACCTCAAAACCAATAGCCAAACACAGAAGGTACAGTATCTTGTGACTGAACTCTAAGTTACTGAACTTCTCCAGACCTGTATTTCTTGATTTATACTGAGTCATCCTGGTCCTACGTATAACATAATAAACATCATGGGAGCAAATGTTTTCATATGTGAGGACTATGGAATCAACAATAAGGACTGGGAGCAGTGACTTCCATCACTTTCTTCATAGTAACAACTCCACAAAATCTCACTCAGAACCACAACTTGATCTTACTTCTTGGTTTTGGTAAAGATTTAACAAACAAGATATGAACTAATATGGCTATCGCTTGAAAGTCAACTAACACTTAGCGTGATTCTTCAGGTTGAGCATTCTGGGATGGAATGTCTGTTTTTGTGTACTTCAGTATGTTTCAGTTCACAGAAGAAGCAGCAAATGTGGTTTATTTGCGAACATGTTTCTGCCCATCCATTCTACAATGGATGCCTGGATTGTTCCTGATAAAACAGGAGTGGCAGCATTTCCATTATTATATCTGTTTGAGATGTTTGAAAACGCCATAGTAGTATGAACAGCATGCACAAACATAGCAACAGTGTTAACATTATCACATAGTGTGAATGTAGCCTTAGTGTTAGAACAACCCTATAAACTAATTTGTGAGCTTTAAGCATGGTGATAACTTTTCTTCATGCCATGTTAAGGACAAAGTTGAACAATTTTTTTAAGCTAAAAACATTTGCGGTGATTATTTTTATGGTTCTGCCCGGGACTTCAGAGAGAGAGTAGGAAAGCCATTACTTTTGATTCTTTACTAAAGAGGGAATTGAAAAGTAGAGGGAAAAGGCGTTAGAGTCATGCTGGGCACGCACCCAGACAGGCGAGAGAGCATTAAGATGACAGAGAGTTGTGGCTCACAGAACAACTCGTACCCTCTGTCGCTGCTAAATTATTTCTTTAGTGTGTGTGGTGTTTGTTAAACTTGTATAAACACTGCTTCAACATCTGCTGTAGTAGGAGTGTAGTGACGCAACACATCCAAGAAGCAGACCATAATCTCTTCCCAGAGACAATACACAGAGAGACGTGACCTTGCGTGTCCCCATGACTTCATATCTAAGTGTACACACACACACACACACACACACACACACACACACACACACACACACACACAGTGCATGACCGTAGGGAATTTCAAAGAAAAAAGACATCTCCCAGAACTTCCCGCATTATCCCCCACTCCTCCCTCTACTCTTTCCGTCCTCTCTGCCATCCTTTCCCTCCATCTGTGCCTTCTGCTCAGTCCCTACGCAGTCAACCCTAAGTGCTTCATCCTTGCTCACCGTCAAACCCATTCCACCCTTTCTTTTATTTCCGTCAGTCTTTCCAGCCGTTCCCCCTTCCTCTCCCCTTTTGGACAGGCAGGAAACATGGAGTGAACTTTTAGGAGAGACACTCAGCTCAATGTGCGCAGCCACGATAAGAACAAGCAGAGCAAACCACCGCCTCCGCTATGTTTCCCTCTGGACCATGAAGTCGACTTCTTTCTAAGTTAGGACCATGACAATGACACCCTGCTTCCTGGGATTCATCCAAATAGTGCTGTGTCATTGTTTAAAAAAAAAAAAAAAAAGAAGCAACATGCAGCTGCCTGAGCAGTAGTGGTCCGACTGCTTGTTTGCTGAAATGCATGATTCTAATGCATCCACCCCTTGTTTTTCCACGTTACATGCAGTGTCACAGCTTGTGGGTGCTTTGTGGTACATAATCCACTGTAATGAAACATGTCCACACTTCTGCACACTTATCTTCTACTTTAAATGGATTTTATTTCATTACATGTGTTCTGAACAATCCTCATCATGGCCTAACAGTTTCATGAATATATATTAAACAAATCTACACAAAGAATTGTTGTGTTTGAATTTGCAGGACCTTCATTGAGCACATCACAGTTAAGATTTGGCCTGAACTGCAAAGGAAGTGTTTTTCTCTGCAGCCACTGACAGTGACAGGAAGTTACAGCAGCAGATGCAGATGGGTTTACTTTTAATGTTCAAAGTGCCATCCATCATTTGTGTATTTAAAAGTAGAACTGAGGAGTGTTTCTAATTATTAGTATTAACTAATTGTTACAAACATGATATTTCGTTGGACTAACAGCAGTTTTCAATGCTGTGTGTTTAAAGCTGTTTTCAGACATTAACTCCAGAAAATAAGGTTTGGACATGTTTCAGAGTTTGTCTTTCACATATGAAGAAAGCAGCAGGAGACTGGAGGTCAGATACAATCACAGGACAGGAACATGTCCCATACATTCAAGTGTTTCTGTTTGTAGCACATCTTTCTAATTTGACATCTTTGTCTGTTTCTTCTGTGTGTATGGCTCCTCTTTTTCATCTTGAGATATTTGTATTCTAGATGTCAGTAACGTCAGCACACCCATTCACTCCCTGCAAATTTTATGGACATGTTCCTGCAGTATTCTCACATGGGACATTTTCCTAGGGAGCTCACGGGAAAAGTTCCAGAAAATGTCAGGAGCAACTAACTCAAACATTTGTGCTCTCACATACAGCCCTTGTCAGTGCATGTCTGAAAGCAGCTTCATTTTTTTAGGTTTCACTATTCCTTCTTCTCATAAACAACCATCTGTTAACAAGTTAACCCGACGTGACATAAAGAACTCTCATTACTCCCCTCGGCTCACACCCACACGAGACACATACATGCAATGTCACACAGGCAAACTGTAAAAGTATTCATATGCGAGAACATAATACCCTTGTATTAGAGGATAGAAATTCCCCTCTGACCACAGGTTTCTGCATGAGTCAGTCATGTTACACCTTTCTCGCTGCTTGTGGTGAGAGAATATAGCTGCCTGGTGGCGACCAGGAAGAATGATAAACACATTACATAAATGTGGGGCCCTTTCGTCAGCCTGCAAAACAAAACAGGCAGAGCTCTCATCCCACATCATCCACGGTGATCCTCTTCAGTTCCTCGAAAGCCTTTAAACCAGTCCCGAGAGAACAGCACATAAACTTGATGCGGTTCAGAGGAGGTTACACATGCTGGTGCAGAATATTCACAGCATCAGTGGAGCAAGACATTGCAAGAAAAACATTCGAGAGCAAGCAGTTGTTTATTTTTTTTGCCTGCCTCCATCTCTTCCTCTCTTTCAACTCACGATCTGAAACTCACAAAATGTCAGTCGAGACGTTCCGCTGCAGCGAGACCATAATTCCACCTGACTACCTACCGGCCTTCAGCTATAAGAAAGACCACCAAAACCCACACAACTACAAAAACACAAGCCTTGGAGATGATTAAGAAAACAATGACATGGGTGATAATTGAAAAAGGAGCTATTGTGTTGTATGGCTGTGCATGCCAGGACAAGAGAGCATTCATCTACACCTTCTATTTTTAGACCTGAATTGTAAAAAACCAAATATAGACATATAGGCTGAATGCAGACAATGGCCCTTTCTCTCAGGTAATAATCAGAGCGGCACAAGTGCGGCACGGTTATATAGCACGAAAACACAGCGTGTGGAGAGGCCTCGCTAAGTGTTGTGTTAGTGTCAGTAAGTGCAACCAATGGGGCGGCATTCATTAAATGCAAGGTGATTTGTGTGTGTGTGTGTGTGTGTGTGTGTGTGTTTTACCTCCATAGGACCTTTTCCAGCATAATAAACACTTGTCAGGACCGGTTGACCAAAGCCTGGCAAAACTGAATTTCTCCGGCCCTTGGTAAGATGTGACTAGTGGTTTGGTTAAGCTTAGGCATGAATTGGTCATGGTTAAGGATAAGGTTTATGTCAGGCTGTCCACAATGAATGGAACTGGAATGAATGGAAGTACTAGTAAAGATAGCTGCGCAATTCTGTGTGTGTGGAGATCAGAATCAGAATCAGAAGAGATTGAAGCACTTCTATGAAACCAATGGGACAGCATGAATTTAAAGCAAAGTGATTAACATAGGCTTGTGTGTGTGTGTGTGTGTGTGTGTGTGTGTGTGTGTGTAACAATGGTCTTGTAGTGCGTCTTTAAGGAGCCGATCACAATAAAAGTAATGATAATAATAATAATAATCCCAATTTATGTTATTCTAACATCATCTCATCATCAATCTATAGACTATCAACTGATGGAAATGTTTCCTGTGGTGTGAACCGTGCTGTTTGTTTTCCATCTCACTGATCCAGGCTATACTCAGGACCAGCGTAGTTCTTTAATCTGAGTGTGATCGAACAAACAGAGGAGTCAACTTGAGCTCAGCAGGACGGATTGCAGGGACTTCATCTGTTTCTCTCACTCCTCCTGCCACATGTGCGGGTCTGCACATCCCGCGAGGGGGTGAGAGAGGTCCGGGGCAGCGGCTGGACCACAGCCGACAGAAAGAAAAAAAAGAGGAGTAGAAGGGCAGCAGCGGAGAGCAAACTTACCTCCTCCACGGTGAGGGGCATGCATATCCTGTACTCCTTCAGCAACATCTCTTCCGCGCGTCTCTGGAAATGTGTTCACTATGTGTCACACCGGCCAAAGTGGACGCTCCCTGCTGCTGCCGCCCGACGGGATGTGTGTAATACCTGGAGACGTGTCAGCGCATGTGGGAGGAGGAGATACACCCCGAGTTGTGGCTGAGTAGTTTCATCGGTGCCGAGCGGACCCTCTCTGCTGCTGCGGTGGAGGGGGGGTGGGGGGGTGAGAGGTTCAGGATCGTCCCCTCCTATCACGCTGAGGAGTCAAGTCACATGCAAGCAGCCGGAAAACAAGGGAGTCGTGGCTTCAAAATAAGAGTGTGAAACGTATCCAGCTAGAATTCTGCAGAATATAGTCCTCGTGTCTGCTATTCAGAAACAAAAACCTGAATCAAATTGTGCGTTAAGAAAAGCTGTTTTCAGACCTGACCTCTGGAGGATGTCTGGAGAATTTGGTCCGGAGTTTCTCCAGAGATGAAAGCCTTACACAAATGTTCAAGATTCAACGGCGTAGAAATTGTAACATAGTAATTCCACTGCGGAGATTACCTGATTTCAACACCGCGTGAAGCCATGCTGCGATTTGCCTCGCCACAGGGTACAAATATTGAATTCTCCTTCTCCCTCTCTCAGATTGGATGTAAACAGAAGGCAAGGGTTTGCCTTTGAAATATTCAGCAATGTGTGACCAGGCCCTAAGAAGGGCCCAGGTAGGGGGGTCGTGAGGGCCAGAGCCAGAATTTTGTTGGCCCCTGAAGTGTGGTGAGTCTTAAAGAAATAGTCTCTTACTACCAATACTAACAATAAATCTGACAATTTATGACAACTTTTAATTTTCTAAGCTTTTTTGAGGTACACAATGTGCTTAAACGTTTTTCAAAATACATTCAATGATATGCTCAAAGCCATATACAGTAGCTAACAGTAAACTAGGAATGACTTCAATGTGCACGTTACTAAATCAGGAATTGTCCATGAATGTTGGACATATATTGGCCTCTCTGTGTAAATTGTGGCAGCTTTATGACCCCTGAAATTCATAAATCCACCACTGGGTACAAGAATGCAGATTATGTTGATTTCAAAATTGTTACGGACATTTCACCACTAAAAGAGAATACATGCTTCAATAAAGGCAGGAGTGTATCAAGGGCCCCAGGCGAAAGAAAGGGACCAGGAGGGCCAGACCATCTCACCCACTTCCCCTTGTGACACAAGATACCAAACCACATCATTCCAATCTTCGAATGATTCTCTTACTATAAAAATAAGGACTTTTCATCCTTTATTCTATTAATAAAGTGTAGAGCACTTTTACTTTGAAATGTTTGACCGGATGTGACATTGCCTCATGCTATTACCCTGCACACACAGGTCTACCAGGGTTACTGCTAGAAGTGAAGTGACCACATTGCTGAGAAAGGAAATATGTGTTGTTCGAATATGTGTTGTTCAAAAACATAATCAGATGTTGAACTTCTTGTTGTCAAAGTTTCATGGAGGCAAAAAGTCAGAGAGGGGCAGGAGAAGAAGAAGAAGGAGAAGAAAAAGAAGAAGAAGGAGGAGGAGGAGGAGGAGGAGGTGGAGGAGGAAGAGGAGGAGGAAGAGGATCTCTGCTTTCTGTGGTTTGTCTTCCTCCGGTTGTGAAAGCAGAGGAGTCGGAAAAAGAAGCAGCAGAAGCCCCTGCCCCTGTCCTGCCTCCAGCCAGGGCCCCGCTGACATACATCAACCACAGTACAGGAAACATCACCTCACTGCTTCACAGAGCACATGCACATCTGTCACTCTCTCTCACACACACACACACACACACACACACACACACACAGTTGGGTCTCCAAGATTTCAGAGGACATTACATTGACCTACATTGATTTCCTGGAGACTTACTCTTTCTCCTTATTCCTTATTACCACTTGCCTAACCTTAACCTTAATCTAAACCTAAACTTAAACTCTGACTTAACCTCAACCTACCCTAAACCGCAACTGAAACTAACTCTAACTTCAACGTGATAGTTTACCGAAAGATGAAAATGCACCACTATGCCGATGGAGGGGTGGGTGAAGTGTTTGAGTCCACAAAACACTTTTGGAGTTTCAGTGTAAACAGCATCGCAGCCAAATCCAATACAATTGAAGTAAATGGCGCCCACTTCCTCAAACGTAAAAAAAAAAAAAACACCCATGTTTTCAAGTTTTGATCCATTTAACCTAAACCCAAATATAAACTTAAACTAATCTCAATTTGAAATTGGTCTTGACCTTCAAATTGACTGATTTATATTATAGACACTTGCTTCTTCCTCATAGGGAAGACAAGCCCCCCACAATGTGACTGTAAACAGATGTAGGTCCCCACAACATGAGTAACACCTGAACAACACACACAGAATGCCTTTACACACACACACACACACACACACACCTACAAACACCACAAGCTGAGAAAGCACTGCCAGTTGCACAATGCTTATTATTTGCATGCTGATGTTGAGAATGACAACTCTTGTATGCTGCTCAGAAACATAATATTTCAGATATAAAATATCTTCCCCTCTTGCTGTTCTCTGGGCCTGGTTGTATTTGTCAGTTACACTGAGGGATACAACGTCCTGTACCTCAGCCCAGTGACAAGAAAGCATCTGTGATCACTATCTTCCTGTGAGTAAAATTAGCCACACTTACCTTGTGTGTCAAAATAGAGAGAACTATGTAACTGCCAGCTTGTATGCCTTTGATATTTTTGGCCGTACTCAGCAAAACTCACATTAATATTTATGTGACGAAGATGCTGACAAACAAGATTTTCCACTGTCAGCAAACATTCAGCACTTCCATACGAAATACTGTATATTCATGCCAACATGTCAAACCCTCTGAGATAGACTTTGAATTTAAGGCTTCCACTTAATCCCCAAACACTATGTGAGCAGCACCATGAAGCAGATCGACTGATCGTATGGGTGCTTTTATATGAGGAAATTATTCACAAAGCATTCACAGGAATAAAATATGCAACACAAGTAAAACTTCATTGCAGATGTGGTGAGTGTGTGTAAGTTTCTTAATGTTAGTAACGGGATGACTAATGGAACCATAACAACAATGCAACATTTTACTTCACATTAAAGGGTTTCTGTAGAGTATTGTCTGACAGCGGTGTCATACACGTGCTTTTTTTTAGGTTTCATGATTAAATCAATAATTTGAGTAAAAGTTGTTGGAGTTGTAGTAGCAGTTATATAAGTATATACATCGTATATATATACAATTACTGTAAATCGTCCATTAAAAAAGCAATCAAGCAACCTTTCTACCAGGGTTCTGAATAGGTTGCCATGACACCGTCCTTGGACATTGTTAGTATTATAAAGACAACTCTTTTTCTTTAAGTTTTATGGACATGTCTTAGAAAAATAAGATTTTCCTCTAGATGCATTGAGACATCTTGATAAGAGATGTCCTAAGACATATCGGTTTTCATAATATGAAGCACCTTTCACATAAATCCAAGATCAGTGGTTTGAATCCAGCTGTGGAACATTGCTACCTCCACCAAGGATGTCATGTTTTATGTTGGTTTGTCTGTTAGTGAGATTACGCAAAAAACTATTGGAGGTATAAACTCCAAACTTGACAGTAATAAACTTGGTTGTCAATTTGCGTGTAGATCTTTGATTTCTCAGATAACAATTAATAAAATTTGTACAATTTGTATGTAGTGAATTTAGATGTATAGTTTCCTACAGGGTCTGCAGGGCCTTGGTGGAGATATGCCTTTGTCTGAATACCATTCTAGTTGTGTGTTGTATCCCACTCTCTCTCTTCACACAGATCCTGTCTGTCTCCTTAAAATCAGCTGTTCAGTCAAAGCCTCACCCCTACCCAAAAAAGAGAGATATCACCAGGCACGAGGATAGCTGGGTGAGCAATTAAACAAAGTTTTCATCAATTCCCACCCTTGTGTTTAGTAACATGAACCACTTTTGAAAAAATACCAGGTCTGGGGCAGTGACAGGCTTTCATGTGAGTGGTATCTTTGAAACAACTAGCCACAATCTAATGGTGACCCAGCTATTTCAATAAGGTCTGTGTTAGTTAGAAAGCAGATTGGAGCCTGATGTTATCTGAACCAGTGTTTGGCATCAATAATACCAAACAAACCAATGAGCTGAAAATTGCCACAAAGGCCTAATTCTGCATGTCCCACTTTTTACAAAGGTGAAACATTGTCTTGTTGTGAGCTATGTCTGTTTTTGCCCTGTTATTGTCATCATATTGAAAAAAATAATGATTGTATTATAATATGGTGATTATGGCCTTTCAAGTCTTCACTTAATCCACAAACTGACTTCTTTCTATGAAGGCTGAATATACTCTATAATATTTTGACGCCTATACAATCAGTGTTCCAGTTCCGTATTGTGGAAGCCTGCACTGGGATCAAACTGAGTTTTAGCTCTGGGCTTAGGGGCTTTCTCTGCCACCAGCAGGAAAATCACTGACCCACATTAGCTTTATTTAGGAGGGCACTGGAGCCTTTCAGAGCACTGAACTGTGTGAAGACTGGAACGCACATATCAAAGGGACATCTACTGGTGGGCTGATGTCATTGCCTTCTGTGTTCATTCATGTGCTCTTGTCCATTCACAAAGTTCCTCATTCATTGCTTTCCTCACTTTTATAGATGAACAGAAGTGTAGCACTTTTAATTTCTTTATGTTAATATTGTCTATTCATTGTGTTCTTTGTCCATTTGTATTTTTCCAATAATTGTATTGAAATGTGTCATTCTATGTGCTTTTAAATAGAGCTGTAATGTCAGAGAGAATGTTTTCTCCTACGGGAAGATAAAAATAAATGAATAGAAAAAAACCTTTCAGACTTGTAAAGCCTGATTGTCGGATAGTACCTCTGGCAAATTTACGTTTAGGGCATTTAGCAGACGATTTTGTCCAAAGCGACTTACAATAAGTAAATTAAAAGTAAAGTGCCTAGCAAATAGATTAAATGAGTGAATCCATCAACATTAGCTCACACAATGACAGCCCAAGTAATTCAAGCCTTTCCTCCTGTAAGCATGTCATGTATTACATCATATTTTCCTCCACTGAGTTAAAGACAGAGAAATACTGATGTGTTGCATTTTATATGAGGACTTTCTCCACATCAACTAACTGTAATAATTATTATTTCTTATTTCTTTTCA